CGCCTCCTAAATAGAGCCTTAAAATCAAATGGCTCTGAAGATTGGGCTAATTATAGGAACGAGCAGAGGGCCTATAAGAAGCTCATCAAGGAATCCAAACGCGAGGCTTGGGAGAAATTCTGCTCTAAAGTTGAGGCTCTTCCTCTAGTAGCCAAACTTCGCAGAGTCCTCGCCAATGGCCCACAACCAAGCCTCGGTGGATTCTCTGTCCCGAACGGGGAGCAGCTTGAGAAACACAAGGACATTCTTGCCCACCTACTGGAGGTACACTTCTCTGGATCCGGACAGGTCGAGCATAACCCCCTGACTCAGGGGGAGCTCCGCGCCACGAGACCCGGTGACTGGACCACTGCTGCTGCAGTGGTAACGTATGACAGGATTCGCTGGGCTCTGGACTCGTTCGACGGGTACAAGAGCCCGGGGGCTGACGGACTCTTCCCCGCTCTTCTTCAGAATGGAGGGGATGGGCTAGTCAAGCATCTAATCCGTGTCTTTAGAGCGTGTCTCGCCTTGAGATACCTAAGCCATGGCGGGAGGTCAAAATAGTCTTTATCCCAAAAACGGGAAAAGACAGATATGACCAAGCCAAGGCTTTTAGGCCTATCAGCTTGACGTCTTTCCTGCTGAAAACGCTGGGAAGACTCGTTGATAGGTTCATAAGGGATGGAACGCTGGCGAGGATGCCGGTGCAGCCATCGCAGCACGCTTACCAAGCAGGTAAGTCTGTCGAGACGGCTCTTCATGGCCTCGTTCGCGAGATAGAAGATGCCCTCGACAGGAAAGAAGCCACGTTATGTGTCTTCTTAGACGTCGAGGAGGCGTTCGATAACACCTCCTTCGAAGCTATATGCGGAGCAGCGAGGGATTTCCACATTGACGGCACTATCGTCCAGTGGATGGACTTCATGCTCCGCTCACGTATCATCACTGCTAGTCTCAGCGGGACGGACATCAGGGCGCACATCGGCAGAGGGTGCCCTCAGGGTGGAGTTACCTCCCCACTGATGTAGCTCATGGTTGTCGATGGGCTCCTGAGCAGGCTCGGGGAGCTAGCGGTTAAAACAGTTGGGTTTGCCGATGACATCTGCATAGCGGTCACCGGCAATCACCCGGCCACAATGTCGAGCAAGATGCAAAGAGCGCTCGACATCGTTCAGGATTGGTGCACGTCGATGTCTTTGAGGGTGAACCCGAATAAGACTGAGATGGTGCTCTTTACGAGGAAGAGGCTTTTCAATATAAGGCCTCCCTCAATATTTGGAACTGAGCTGACGTTCTCCCGGGAAGTTCGCTACCTGGGGGTGACGCTCGATAGCAAGCTCAGTTGGAAATGCCACATCGACAACCAGGCCAGGAAGGCTATTAATATCTTCTGGGCCTGCAAGAAGACGTTTGGTAAGACGTGGGGGTTAAAACCACGGATGGTTAGGTGGATTTACACCGTCATACTGGTCCCTCAACTTACGTACGCCTCCCTAGTTTGGTGGCCCGGTGTCAAGCGGGCTCAAAACAGGAAAGCGTTAGACAGGGTCTATAGGCTAACAGGGCTGGGAATTACGGGCGCGATGCGCACTACCCCGACCCTGGCTCTAGGGGCTCTGCTCAACATCTTACCTCCGCACATTGCGGCGGAGGAAAGAGCCAGAAGCGCAGCCTTTAGGCTGCTAGTCAGTGGGAGCTGGAGACGGGCCTCCTACGGGCACGCATCGATCCTGTCAAGAACGGAGGACTTCGAGGAAGTCAACCGTCTTGGGGGTGAATGGTGCCCAAAGGAGTACCATTTCCAGTACAACTATGAGGTCCTCTTCCCAGATAGACAGTCATGGGCAGAGGACCCAAATCATTTATTGGCACCCGCAGGGCCCGTCTGGTATACAGATGGGGCTAAAGCGGGTTC